TGTTTAGGTTTCCTTGTTTCAAGTAACAGCCACAGTAGTAGTCTTCTAAAGCAGTGGTCCCCAACCTTGGGCATCCAGATGTTCTTGGACTACAACTCCCAGAACCCTTCACCATCACCTCTGCTGGCCAGGATTTCTGGGAGTTGAAGCCCAAGAACATCTGGAGGCCCAAGGTTGGGGACCACTGCTCTAAAAAATACTGGATATTTTTCTGAATTGAAAAAAAAATTGCTAAATCTAGTTCCTAAGAGCCTGACGTGCAGAGCTCAATAGGTATACAGTTTAAAAGTTCACCTTGGAGATGGGGGCAGATCAACAGAAATACCCCTCTATGCAGGCAAAAAGTGTCCTTCCTCTAAAATGAATGTGACACTCATAAAGAACATCCAGATGGTCAGTGATGGTGGCTCTGCCTTTGAGTTTTACCCATAGTGAGTTTAGAACACTAAAGTTAGTGCTAGCATGTCAGTGCAGTAAAAAGTAACTCATTTAGAAAAAAAAATGTAATTCTAAAATTATAATTATCAAATTATACATTTTTTCTAAATGAGTTACTTTTTACTACACTAAAAATCATGAGATAATTTTGTGTTTCATCCATAAATTATTTTATTAAAGTCTCAAATAATCATATCTTTAGATCATTTAATGATCAAAGGAATGAGAACTGATAATGTCACTAAAATAGTATTGTTGACATTTAATAATTAAAGCCACAGATTCAAAATGATTGCTGAAAATTTTAGGAAATTAGGATTAAAAAGTTAATTTTTAACAAATTATTCCTAAGATTTGAAATTGCACCCAACATGTTCATTTTGGGATTAAAGATCACAACCATGTATGTCTGAACATTCCACAACAGAATATCAGCCCTACCCAGATTTGGGAAAAGGTACCTGCCTAATACCAACATAGCATCATACGCTTCCAAGAGGGAAAATAAAAAATCTCTGTTCTCTATTCTTTCTCTGTGTTTTAAAAAAACATTACCTTCATCGCTATGCAAAGAGTGCGCAGTCCCTTTGTAGCATAATTATCCAAATGCATCTGAGTTTTCTTCTGTATTCCTCTACTTTTGAAGTCTGTTCCCAAATCACCTGGGGAAACGAGCAAAAACATATGAATCAAGTTTAGGTTTTGCAAGAAGATTTTTGTAATGAAGTTCCCAAATAGATTGTGAGAGCTCCCAACAGAAGAAATTCTGCCAAATGGTGCTATTTTGCAAAGGGGGTGTAGAAGACGTGGCAGCACAAGATGATCTTATCTCAAAGGGGCCTTGCGCAAAATCTTGCATAGGAGCCTGTGCAACATCTTGGACTGCAATGTTCTCACAGGGGGTCCATGAAGGCTTAAAGAAATGTTATGTTCTTTTGCAGTTGAAATAGAAAGAATAAAAGGAAGAAAGCAAGAAAGAAAAGGAATCGTAGAGCAAAAGCTTAATTCCCCTTGCTTTTTTGTGTTAAACTTGGCTTTTCTAATCTAATCTACCACCTCCATTAAAAACAAGCAAAAGTAGAAAATGGTTAAGAAAATAACTGTTTGATAGCAAATACTGTAATTGTTTTATATTTACACTGAGAAGAGCTGGGTACAACTGCCCAGTGAGCCACACTGCACCCGTCTTTATCTCTGAGCCTAACCTATGTACCCTACCGATTAGTTTTTACGATAAATGGGAAGTTGCCAGGGGAAGGATGATCGTATGTTACTTCAACATCTTTGGAGAGCTTGAGAAACAGATAATAAACTCTCAATATGCTAGAAGATTTGACAAAAATGCCCAAGGTACAGAATACCACCGTGATAAAACTGAGGGAGAGAAACACCCTTCACATCTGATCTCTGTCTAAACGAAAACCTTGGACATTATGTCTTGATGGGCTAAACTTTTGAGCCCAAGAGTTTTCCTCTGTGTTGGCTAAATGGGATTTTTTTTTCTGTTGCTTTGATGCTAACAATGATAATTAATGTTATTATTAACACTTATCTAGCTGTTTCTTATATCACAACTCTTTAGAACGCAAGGAAAGGGTGTTTTTTAATAGGCAGGGGTTGCAGTTGTGCATTGATGCACTTTTCAATTGCTTTTAATTCAGTTTTTCTTCTTGCTATTTGTTTTACCGTGTTTGAAATATGGAGCATTTTGTGGGTTTTGTGAATGTATTTTCTTGTGGCTGCGAGCTACTTTGGTTTTCAATTTGGGATGAAAGGCAGGGTAACAACTGTATAATTAACCGCACCAATTGATCTGTTTTGAGAGAGACAAACAGCCTTTGCTGAATCAGTCTGAATAGTGGGGGAAAGGGCCATCCATACCGGTAGGTTCCGTCTTCAGCAAGTCCATTATGACAGAGTCTGCACCTTTTGTGTACATCACGATCTTGTTTAAAATTGGGTGCTTAACCACAACAGACATTCGTTTTCGGGTGGCGTCAAAAGGCAAAATATGTAGCAGTGGAAATGTCAATGTTCCCAAAGGACCCATGTCTATCGTCACCTGATCCGGATTCCTCGCCTTTAAAGTGCATTGATAAGCCCTGGCAGCATGCACAAGGGCTGCTTCATCAGGACTCTCCGCCTCATAAGACAGCTCCATGGATGCACAGTAATCATATGACAATCTGTGTTTAGTGAAATCAGGTGCACTCAAGGTCCTCATTTCTTCATGCCTAGATGTTAAGCTGCTTGGTGAGCTCTCAGAAGACTCAGAGCTTTGGTTTGTTATGGAGGCTGGAAACTGCACGTGGACAACATTCAGCCTTGGTCGTGTCGCAGGTTTTTTGGACTGTGCTTCAACTGAGCTTTGAGATTGAACAGATGTGGGGCTTGCCTTCCGGGGTGAAATTTTTTGAAACATCTGTCTAAAATCAGTCGGGGGTAAAACAGGCATTCTGGCTACTGAAGACCACCGCCGCTGTAAAACAATAAGGATCAATCAATACTGTTCCGCAAAGGGCAAAATCCATAATCCTTACCCAAAAGAGAAGGGCAAGACCCAACAACACAAGTAACACAGTTGGAGAGAGCCACCATTTTCTCTCCATCTCAATAGGCATTATTAGGTGTAAACAGATGCTTCTGTGAATGCTACTGACACAAACTTGCTTTTTCCACTTTGTGTCTTAAATTTAATGGTGGACCTCATAGCTAAAATATCTAGCCAAATATTTGCATTTAACATGCTACACTCAATTTTTTTACTCGTTGGACTGGTGAAGAATATTCAAGGAAAGCTTACACACTACTGTGGAATTATTCTGAAGGAAAAACCCAAATTCCCCTACTTTTCTCCTTAATACACATATTTTACTATATTCAATATTCCTGTCTTTAAATCTTTATGCTACCAATGAAACAAAAGTCTCATTCAAAGAAATAGCTGACCAGAGGAATTCCTCCACATGTTATACACCCAAACAAATGCTTTCTCATGAAAAGCAAGGTCAAGAAACACAGCTGTCTCCACTCTGGCTAGTGAATGGAACAGTTAAGGGAAAGGGGAAATGAAACTTTAGACTACAACACTTGACATTTTCAAGAACACAATAGCAACAGGATGATAAAATTTTGTGCATCTATTTGAATGAACCAGTTTCTTTGTATGCAAAGTATCAACAAAGTTATGATGACAGGGCGCCTCAGTAACCTGAATGTTTCCATACATATATGTGTTCTTGTCCAATTGCATGTTACTAGCTAGCATTACATGTTACTAGTTAAAGATAAGTTGAAGGCAGGATTGATGGACAAATTATCCTTGACTTTCCTTGACTAAGGAATCTTTTGGTCCCATTTCTTGAACATATGAGCTTATGATTTGCACCCGATAAAGGTAAACCTATTCTTTTCTATTGCTGAGTTGACATGATTTGAGTCTAAAGACTCCTGTCACCTCCTTTTCTGCAGAAAACCATTATCTTTCAATAAGCCCTATATATTATAAAATCTGAATTCCTGTGTTGGGTAGTGTTAATTCTCTCTCTCTCTAGGCACCCAAAAGAGTTGGTTATTGCCAAAGTAAAAATTCTGTACTTTTACAACAACTCTGATACATGTGTTATCTGCCTGTGGATGGTTTTGTAGGGTTCAACGTGTGTGACAATAGCCTATGTTGGGGGTGGGAGCAAGAGGGAAACAACACCTAAGACTTTCAGATGGATGACCAGGAGAAATAGTGCCAGGTACCATCAGCATCTGAAATATGCTTTACTCCAAACATCTGATTCATATTGCTTTGCTTCGAAATTAAGAGGCACTAGGAGAAGACAGATGTCCTAGATAAGATAAGCTAGGGCATCCTGCCTCATGGGCAGAAACCTCCCATTTCTACCTTTTGAAATGTACCCTGCAGGTGAGAGCAGAATCATTATATTGCCATACCGTATACCCAAAACACCAATTTGTTCTTATGAAATAATATAGGCAATGACTTCAAAAACCTGGTGATAAAACAAGGAGAATCAACAGGGCCACACTAGCTTTGTTTTTATCCAGACTGAACTTATTAATTAGGTCAACCAAAGCTGTTTTAGTGCCAATACATTTAATTAAAAAAAGATATGGAGTGGAGCCACCACCCCCTTCTCCATGTATGTTGCTTCAGACAAAGATATTAGTGACTGAACAACACTTGCCACTATCTTTTAGGTCTGGAGAGTTGTTTGTTTGTTTTGCTTGCTTGTTTGTTTAAGAAGCAGCTGCAGAACAGCTTCTTCCTTGTGGCCGTGGCCAGGGCCACTTCCTCTTACAATGAGGCATGAGTCACGTCCTAGACGGAGGTAAGCAAAGTCCTGCCATTTTGACGTTGCTGGACCACACTTCCTCTCTGTTCTTGCCAATACAGCCAACGTGAGGAAGACTGGGAGCCGCAATCCAACAACAACTGGAGGGATTCAACTTGCCCATCCTGTTGGACCTAACTCTGTCTAGGATCCTATTCCTGCCTGAGAACAACCTAGAAGCTTTCTTTCTGCACAGGAATCTGAGCCGAGCTAGGC